ATATCAGTCATATAATTGTGGCAGTATGCCCRACAGGCTTTGAATTCAGCACACAAATGTCTGTTGTTCATTGGTTGAGCAGCTCACGGTCGTAATATAAAGGGGCCCTCACCCCATTATCTCAGTGATATCGCTTGTCTTCCGGTTTGGATTGCCGTGGTTGCGGGTGCTGCACATTAGCCCCACGCAAGTGTGTGTGTATGAAGGGTGCGTTAAAGGACCATTGATCCTTTTATGGCCGCCAGAACAAGTCCACCTGATTTCTCCTTCTTTAGAGGAGCTGCACTTTGGGCTGAGTGACTCTGTTGTTTGTCCTTTGCCGTCTTGGGTCGGACCTTCCTGTCTTTTCGCTCCCGGCTGCCTGCCGTGTGGCTCTTCGGCTGGCTTCCTACCCGTTGCTGTGTGGGTCCGTCATCGGTTCTTGCTGGTCGGCGGGTCTGGTTGGCTGGCTTAGTGATGCTCAGCTCGAGGCGATTCTGTGGGTCCTGTATGTCCCATCTGCCGGGGGCTTACTGGGCTCCTCTCAACTTCCAGACGGACATTAATGCACGCATAAAAGTGTATTGCTGCTTGGCTGCCGGCTTTTTAACCGAGACATCTTTTTACTCCTACAAATTTTATATTTACTAAATTAATTTGTTAACTCACTGTTTCTGTTGTTTCTTTCTTAATTTGTGTTTTTTGTATTTGTGACAGGGCAGTGGCCAGCGCCTGGTATTGGTGGCGGGTCCTTCTGGGTGGTGGTCCTCGCACTGGTTTGCAGTGTTAATTTTTCTATTATTGTGTGCTGTTTTTTTTTTTTTTTTTGCTTGGACCACTGCTCTGTCTAGCACCATCGTTCCAGAGTGGGCCCTGTTTGTTAAGTGTGTGTGTGTGTGTGTGTGTGTGTGTGTGTGNGAGAGAGAGAGAGAGAGAGAGAGAGAGAGAGAGAGAGAGAGAGAGAGAGAGAGCTTTTAGCAATTAGACGTGTGTTTTAGATTAGTAAATAAAATATTGTTAATTGGGATTGAATTGTCTCTTGCCTCCTCTGTAGTAGATCCCGTGCCTTAAAGGGAAGTTTTAAGTGGGGTTCTTGACATAAATTGTATCTCTATTAAAATAGTAGTTGCTATAATCCTAACTATTTCCTCTAATATCGGTACGGTCACATAATAAAATACAATAATGCAGACAAATAGAACAATACGGTTGTGGGGGAAAAGTATCGAAGTGAGGACAACAAAAACAGACATATATTGAAGATCGGAGTTAACAGTTGTAGGCTAATTTGAAAAGATGTGTCTTCAGGCCAGTCTTAAACAGGGAGAGAGAGGTAGTATCRTGTAATCCATGGGGTAGTGAGTTCCAGAACTGCGGAGCAGAGCGGCTGAAAGYTCTGCTCCCCATGGTGCTGAGGTGGGCAGGGGGTACTGAGAGTTAGAGGGAGGAGGCAGATCTTAGAGAGCAGGAGGGTGTGGAGATGTTCAGGAGGTCAGACAGGTAAGGAGAGGAAAGATTGTGGATAGCTTTGAAGGTGTGTAGGAGAATTTTAAAGATGATGCGGGATTTAACTGGGAGCCAGTGGAGCTGTTGTAGGACTGGAGTGATGTGGGATTTAACTGGGAGCCAGTGGAGCTGTTGTAGGACTGAAGTGATGTGGGCAGAGGATGAGGTTTGAGTGATTACACGGGCTGCTGAGTTCTGAACCATCTGTAGTTTGTGAAGAGATTTATTGGGGAGATCAAACAGTTGGGAGTTGCAGTAGTCGATCCTGGATGTTACTAGGCTGTGTACAAGGATGGCAGTGGAGCGGGGAGTGAGTTAAGGACGGAGACTGTTAATGTGGAGATGAAAATAGACAGATCGAGTCACGTTGTTAATGTGGGATGTGAAAGAGAGTGTGGTGTCAAGGATGACACCTAGSTTCTTGACCTGAGGCGAAGGCGAAGGAACGGAGTTGTTAAGAATGAAGAGAAGATGCTGGGATTTGGAAATGGTGTTTTTTTTGTCCCAACAAGGAGGAGTTCAGTTTTGTTATTGTTTAGTTGGAGGAAATTATTGGAGAACCAGTTATTGAGCTCACTGAGGCAGTCAGTAAGAGTGGAGGATGAGAGGGTGGAGTTCGGTTTCGTTGAAATGTAGAGTTGAGTGTCGTCGGCATAAGAGTGGAAATGGATACCAAATTTACAGAAGATGTGGCCAAGCGGGAGCAGATAGATTATGAAAAGTAGAGGCCCGAGTACAGAACCTTGGGGAACACCAGTGGAGATGGGTGAAGACTGGGAGCGGGAGGAGTTGAGCTGTATGAACTGAGTGCAGTCGGAAAGATAAGATTTAAACCAGTCCAGTGGGGTGTCTGAGATGCCGATAGAGGTTAGCTGGTCGATGAGGATAGGATGAGAGATGGTGTCAAAGGCAGAGCTCAGATCAAGGAGGATGAGTATTGACAGAAGTCCTGAGTCAGCAGCAAGGAGAAGATCATTAGTAATTTTAATAAGAGCAGTTTCGGTGCTGTGATGTGGTCGAAAACCTGATTTGAACTGTTCATAGAGGTTATTGCTGGAGACAGTGAGTGAAGCTGATTAACGACGACCTTTTCAAGGATTTTTGGAGATGAAAGGCAAATTAGAAATGGGACGGAGGTTATTGTAGTTAGTCGGATCTAGACCTGTTTTCATTATGATGGATGGGGGTGATGGCAGCCGATTTAAAAGCTGTGGGAACAGTACCAGTCGTCTGGTCATCCTAGAAGTGTGGCACAGCATAACAGTAAAAACAGAATATTTTGGTCTTGACAGTTAATGGTGTAGAGATAACCCTCATTAAAAATCATGAATGATTTCAACTAAGAGTATCCCTCCCCGGTTCGAAGATGGTAACTTAAACAAGAATAATTCAACCACCACAATACACAGAAAAAACACAAAGTCGTTCCGGTTTATTTTGGCCAGTTATAGTTAACTGACTTTTATTAAAGAGAGTAATATGAAAAATTAATATTTAGTTACAAGAATAAATGGGCTCTCAGCATAACACTATTGGTTTCTACTTTTAAGCAATTTGTCTAACAGTATAAACTAGGCAAAAGCAGATTAATTTATGTACAAAAGGGTCAGTGTATGAGTGTGTGTATCTATGTGTGTGCGTATGTATGTATGTATGTATGAGGGAGAGACAGAGACAGAAGATGAACAACAGATGACAAATATATCTTTTAAAGCTTAAAGGTTTTAAGACTAGTTTATGTTCGGCTGTGAGCGAATGGGCTTGGGACCGAGGTGAGCACACGCTTAGCTTTACCGTAGCTAGGGCCTTTCCACGCGGAGCAGGTGGACAGAGACTTCTGCTAGGTGTCCACCTGATGAATGACAAACACCGTAGCCTTCTTTGTCAGCCAAAGGGGAAGAGGCCTTCTGGGGCTCGGTCTTTCAGCAACGTGGCAGCGGGTCAGAACCGGCAGGTCGACCAGGAACTCACAGCGAGGAGACACAAAAATGGTATTTCACCAAAAAGGTATTTCTTTGTAAGGAACAAGAAATAATGCTGCAGAAGAAATTGTAAGATCAGAACAGAGCAGAGCAGAGAAGAGGTAGCCTGTGCCTCACTTGCCCCGGCAGGGAGAGCAGATGAGCAGAAAGATTGACGAACARGAAGTAACGGAAAAGTTTTAAAGACACAGGAAGGAGTGTGTGTGTAGGGGTGTTATCTGCAGGTCGTCAGTGTATTGGAGAGTTCTCACGAGAACCAAACGTGTGTGTGTGTGTGTGTGTGTGTGTGTGTGTGAGACCCAAGGTTGAATCATCAAAAACAACACACAAACCTGTATGAGCATAGTAACTCAACTCAAAGAACATTAGATCAACATTTCAATTATCTAATGGTTAATTATGAACTATTATTAGTAAACTAATAAAATGACTAAGTAATGCTTATTAAAAACAGAAGATGTAAAAAGATAAACATATAAGCATTGATTCAAATACATTCTGTTAATGCCAACTCATAATTTCTAAACATGTTCTAAACAACAAATGCAAAGTTACAAAAACAACTACTATTAGAGAGCCCCTTGAAAAGTAAAGACAAAGTCAAACATGTTCTGAAGGGTTTAAGCATTTGAACTATACACGTTTAAAGTAACAGCCATAACAGACAGAATATTTGTTTTAATTTGTTTTTATCAACAGAATGACAAACTGTTGAGAACGAGACCTTTCCCAGGGGAAAGGAGAGACAGCGAAAGGCTTATTTTTTTGTAGCCCTCTGGTGAGAGCTGAAACAGTTCAGTCTGAGAGAAGAGAACTTTGACCTCAGGGGCTTAAAGGTCAACCACTGGTGAGATGAGGTGAGGTGAAATGGGTGTGAACACTACAAGGGGATACGTTGGACCTTGAGTGCCACTGTCCTGCAAATTTTGGATGCATCCCCGATTCAACACACCTGAACCAAGGTGTCTACCAGCAGCTTCTACCAGCGATGTCTACCAGCAGCTTCAGGGCTAGTGATGTTTCAAGTGGTAAGACTATGAGCTTTAATAAGTAAAATTATCCCAGCTACAATGACAGACAACAAATATTACATTTATAGTATTACAACTAAAACCGTTTTTGACGCCGCCACCGCAGTTTGTCCTATTGTTCCTGTTGTTACCTATTATGAAATCTTATTATTGTGAAATCTTAGAAAAGTCTTGATCAAGTCAAACAGTGAAAAAGAGTATGTATGAGG